TGACTTACGTATTTATACAATATTGGCAAAATACAAAAAGACTTTTTCGACTACCCATATATCTAATCGTTTTATTCGCAAGTTTTTTCGTAATGGCTGGTATATGTAGTACATATGTACATACGAGTGAATATGTGTAAATTTAAAAATAAATTAAGAGTATATACTATGCATTGTTATTCAAATTTAATGTTTTCTCTGTGCGAATAAATCCCCGAATCGGTATTTTCACCGAAGGTCATTGTCTAATGATACTGTTTTCTTTTCTTCCTGATGCAGACGATAACAATTGGGATGTACTAGAAATTTCTAGTTAAGTAAGGTCAAGCGAATTTCAAACCAAAAAAAATTTGAAGTTATTCAACAATAAAAAAAATTCCAAATTAGATTTTTTTTTTCGCACTATTATGCTTTGATGATAAAATTCGAAGTAATTAATAAATGTATTACGACGAACAAATGTTTATATGAATAAAATAAATTCTCGAGTGCAAAATTTCAATATTTGTGTGCAAATTATGCTTTTTACCAGACCTTATGTCCATAAAACCACAATCACATTAAAATATATATATTTTTTCTCAATGTCTGGTCAGTTAAGCTTACCGTGCGATTCTGTACTGTGATACAGTATCAAGTCTCTAAATTTGACAGAGACAATTTTTGAGACTTGAGACGATTTTGCTATTTTGTAAGTGATAGTCACAAAACTCTACTACATTTCATTATTCAGAGATGTTTTATACTTGAATGAAAATAAATATGTCGATAACAAATATTAAATTTTCTATAACATAGTCAAAAAACATAATTATCAATAAAAATAAAACATATGTTGACTTTGTTTCATAATATTAACGAAATTTATGTAAAATTTAGTAGCTTACAAAATATAAAAAAACGACAATCGATTAATATCTATGGTGATCTCTATTCAGTATATTCAAAATGGCAGACAAAAGTTCTTTTTGGTTTTGTGACTTGCTAACTACCATTTCTGAAATTTGAGGCAATATTTTGAGACAAAAGCTAGAGACTGTTTAGTGAATAGTAACTAGTCACAATTTGAGATTTTACCATAAAATGTCTCAAATAGAGACTAGAGACTGGTTAAAGAATGCCGCTTTTAATCTATACACTTGTTATAAGCCCCTCTATGCCAGTCTGTGAAGTAGGTATAAACTAGGCAAGCGATTGAACTGCGCAGTCACGAAAAAGCTGACACATTAACATGCAAGCATACATACGTACATAAGCAGTTAATGAATGAAAGTCTTCATATAAAATTAAGTATTACCCATTTATATCCCTTACTACGGATGCATATTTCTACGCATTTTAATGTATTTATATAAATTTATAAATAAATTATGCGCCATCCACACAACAAAAAAATGTAAGCATTTGTATTATTATTTTATTTTTATTTCTTTGACTAAAAATAGCATAGTTGCCACAGAGTGGAAATTATAAATACATTATATACAATTGTATATATATTAATACTTATAATGTATGTATATTATACACACACAATATCTAATACATATGTATGTGGTATACAGCAAAATTGAAAACAATTTTTTGTATATCAACAAATAGGCCGAAAATAATGTATATGTATGTAAATCTAAAACATAAACAAAACAACCATTTACAGTTTGTTGCGAAGACGTGTGCAGCAGTAAAGTATTAAAGATGGTGAACAAAACAAAAAGGAAAAAAATTGTATTTTTTATAATTTATCGAGCAACCAAATCAAGTCGCTAAAATTAACAAAAAAAATAGACAAAATAAATTATATAACAAAACAAAACTGCAATATTTATTGTCAGAACTTTTTTTAAGTGTGTTTAATTGCTTTTTTTTTTATTTTTCACATTTCTATTACTTTGGGAATTTTCCACATATTTTTTCAAAAATAATGCACTTAAGTTAGCATTTAGTAAAAAATTTTAAAGTATTATTATTTTGTTATCAAATCTTATCAAATCAGTGAGTACTATGCTATTTATAACGCGTTAAAAGCAGACTAAATTATCTACAAGAGCACTTAGCACAGACTGCTTACAGACGGCATGTTTGGGTACCCCATACAAAGAATCTATCTAAAAAAAAAAATAAAAAAAATTGGTTACAATAAACCGATAGGAAGCATATTTACCGATTTATCAGATGAAAAAAAATTGCGCAACGAGCCAAATTATAATTAAGTATAAAATTATATATAAGTTTTAAGCGTTACACTTTGCTAACTGTTTACATAGATACACCAGTGCAGGGTGGCTGATGAAAGCCGCTACCAAAAAAAATTAAATAACTTTTTTCTATTTAATGAATCTGGTTAATTTTTTTTTATTTTGCAGATTGACTTTTACATTTAACAAAAAATGGATAACTGGGACACTGAAACAAGAATTTGGATTGTCCGCCGCTATCACGCCCTGGAGTCCGTAGTTTCGGTTCAATGAGAGTATAGGCGCACGTTTGGCGGCAATCCTCCGAGCAGATGGACCATAATGAGACTTGTAAATAATTTTGCCGAGCATGGGACAGTCAACAGAAGACCTTACCATCGAAACCCTTCAGTTCGAACGGAGGAAACAATCGCTGCTGTAGCTGCTGCCATACAAAACAAGAAGCTTATCTACTCAAATGGGTGTAAGCAGACATCATTACAGTCAATTATGCAAAAAGATTTGGACTTATTCCCATATAAAATTCAAATGGCCAACAAACTGAACGCTGCAGACTTGCCGATTTGGCCAGAAGATGCTTCAAATGGTGGAAGAGGATGGAAACATGTTGAACTGTCTTTTCATGTCTGACGAGGCCCATTTCGATTTAAACGGCAACATAAACAAACAAAATTGTCGAATATGGAGTGCTTCCGACTCACATATGATCCATGAGACGAAATTGCATCCACTTTGTGTCACAGTGTGGTGTGCAGTTTCATCACGCTGCATTGTCGGGCCCTACTTCTTCGAAGAAAACGGTCACACCGTTACGGTTACTGGAGACCGTTACTTTTTCTTTCAACTCTGTGTGGTTTCAGCAAGATGGTGCAGCTCCTCACATAGCCCAAMCTGTTATGACAGAATTGCGACGAAAATTTCCCAATAAGTTGATATCCAAAAACTCCACATTCCGTTGGCCACTCAGGTCGACTGACCTTACTGCACCTGACTTATTCTTGTGGGGTTATTGCAAACAGGAAGTCTACAAAACAAAACCAACAAATTTTCGGCCAACAAAAGAAACAATTGCGGCTATTCTTGTCTCAACTCTCCGAGCAGTAATGAACAACTTTTTGGTAAGATGCCGCACATGCACCAACGAGAAGGGGGGGCATTTAATTCCATCATTTTTAAAACTAATTAAGCTATATTTAATAAAATTGAATGAGCTTTAACATGAATAAAAGAAAAATGAATTCCATACACTGAAAAAAAAAATTATTTGAGTTTCTTAATGTAGCATAATTCATCAGCCACCCTGTACATGCATCTATGACAATTTACTTATGTGTTGAACACAATGCTCGCGACAGACTGCAGCAGCACGACAATGAACTGAAAACGGCGTTGTGAATCCTACTACTTGAACGTTTGTGAGAGGGCAGCAACATAACAATGGCCGGCATGTACACAAAACAACGAAGTTGTCCATTTTGCATGTACACAATTTCGATGTGGCCATACTAATACCTTGTACTTCAATGAAATTTTAATATTTTGTTCTAAGTGAAATTTTTTATGCAAAAAATAAGTAAATAGGTAAATTTATTTGTTTTAAATTATCAATTGTTATTATAAATGATGTAACAGAGATATTTTATGCTTTTATTTGTAAAATATCGTCAAGTTAGTTAGAGCTGTGAATAATTTTACATTTTACATATTTGTGGCATCACCACTCTACCTTATCTCTCTATCTTCCATTCTACTGTCAACTCTACTGCCGTCCTACTGTCGTTGGCAAAAATAGGATTAAATTGAAGTTAGGGAGAATGACAACTGTCGTGTAGTCGTGCAGCTGTCAAAATAGGTTCTTGCATAAGAACGTGTGTATTTTAATATTTGGCAGATGTCGTTCGCAGTCTGTAGCGAACATTGTGTTCAACACATTAGAGTGCGTAATTTTCACTCCCCTGCCAACAGCACACATTCTTCGATTTTCTTGACGTCAATATTATTGCTTTCAAATTAGTTTTTTTTAGAAAAAATTTCCTTATCTTTTCGCTTTCTATTATCAAGCTATTTTTGCAAATAAAAAACATAGCCTGCTTATCCCTAAAACGATGGCAGCACGTGAAACGGGCGTGTTCATTTATTTTTGCAATACATTAAATTAATTGCCTTATTTTTACTAATAAATTTTTAGAATAAAACTTTCTTTTTCTAAATAGCACGTCCAATTTGGAATAGTGTCACAGGTCACTTTTGCGATTTTTACTATAATTTTCGCTGATATTCCTAGCGACGTAATTGAGGGCACGTATTCCATACCCAACCCCCGCTATATCCCATATTGAACTATCATTATTAGTTTGAGTGGACGTGAAATATAATATTAAGCTATCAAATATTATCGTGTAGATTAGGTAAGGTTATGGCGGAGAGAAACACAGCAAAAGCGTAGCACCACAAAGTAGTTATAAAGAAATAATGTTAAGTAATAGTAATAATAAATAATGTGAGTGCAAGCTTACGCTGTTGCATCATTAATCGTTGATTATTATTTTTTCATTCTTTTCTGAAAATTAAAAATCATCTGCAATATGTTATTTCTGATAAGAACTTGTCAATAGGACTCCAAAAGGGGCAGACATATAATAAAAATACACTTGTGCAATTATAAATCATATTTATATGGTATGTATAAATTGGTAACTTTCCATTAGAATATACATACATATATGCTATATACATATATATGAGCACGTGAAATTTAAATAAGCCAATTATGTGAAATACGCAAATTGATAAAACACTTACCCGCCAGCAACTAAATGTATTATAGTGTCACGCTGATTCTGGGACATAATCACGCGAGAACTTTTTCCGCACTCCGCAAATGTATAATAAATTCAAATTTCAATACACAATTGAATAGAGAAAGCAAAATTGCCGGCGATGGCCGGTTTTTATAGCACTTCGTTGTCGTTCACAAACAATAAAAAAAAAATGGGTGGATACAAAGTATATAGTAGCAACTAGGACCGGCAAACAAAGCAACACGTTTTCGAAAACGTTTCCACTACTGTAGGTACTTTATTTCTAGTGGTTTGATATTGTGAAATTGTATTGCGTCGCTTCTAGCGGGGATCAGCCGACGACTGGTTACGATGACAGTGCCTACAACTCGTGCGCGTAAATATGATGGCAACCAAGCGTAGTAGCACACACACACAAACACACAATGTGCTTATTCGCAGCACTGCTTTACGAAATTGCAAAAATATAACTTATGCTCACGACTTGTTTGATAATGTAGCATGCGAGTAAATGGGGGGGCGGCTAAAAATACACAAAGAATTCACACCGTTAGGACGGGAGTACCGCCCGCTTCACGTACTGTGATTTCTTAACTTTTTCGTTTGATTCCGCTTTGAATTCAAGGAAAATTATTATTACACAAGCGATTGACGAAAAACACTTCTTCCTGCCGCACGCTTATGTAATGCACCCCTCACTAAAATACCGCTTAGCTGCACAGAAAGTTTTCGTGCCCCACTATTTTAATTAATTGCAAGACAGATTTTCTGTTAAAATTAATGAACTTTAGTTTAATTATGTATTAGTTGAACTTCAATTCGTCAGATTATTCTGGAAAGGTTGCAATTTCAGATCTGCTCAAAATGTTTGCACAACTGGTTTACGGTGACAAAAAATAAATGAATATTTTATGCAATTTTCTCTTCCTTCGCACGATTCGTTTCACTTCGTTTGATTCAGTGAATTTCTTTTATTGTTATATTTTTTCACTTTGGCACTTTAAGCGAAAATGTGTTCTATATTTTTGCGTTCTGCGTTTAACATCAACTCTCGACGACGGCGATTTTTCCATTGAAATAAATTGGAGCTTTCGTTCATAACAAACGGCAACATGACGTAACGCATAGTTATTTGTCAAAACGTTATGAGATAACGTAAGAAGAGATACTCAGTAACAGGGCAATTCATAATCAATGAGCGTGATAACATTTTCTGTTCAACTGTACATATTTGATTTTAACAATTTTAATTAATTAAATTTATAAATATGTAGAGTTCTACCAATGAAATTATTCAATTAATATTAATATAACTGCTTGGCTTTTAACAAATTCACGGCTTCTTAATAATTAAATATGCTTATTATGATTGATTGACGCGTTTATTTATGCACATACATATTTATGTCTGTAAATACATTTATTTTTTTGTTTCAATCTAATTAAATTTGTTATGTATGTTTATTTGTTAGCATATAATATTTTTTTCTATTTGCTGAAAACTTTTTCTGATTTAGCTTATATAATACTAGGTTGCTCTCTGCTTTTACGTATTTAAATAACTTAATGTAAATATTTTAAAAGTAAAAATAGTTTTATAAACTAAAAAGCAAGGCAGCGACATCTGTGCCAACTTTTAGCAAAGACATAACCCAACTTTACGTTACGACTACGTTAATTTCTTGTTTACGAATGTCATATTGAGCATTGAAAATAATAAACGGTTAATAAAAGGGACATGTGTTAAATGTCTGATAAGAAACAGAGAACGTATAAATTTTGAGTAAAAAACGAACTAACCCATTGGAAATTCAAATCGGAACGACCAAATAGCCGACGTTGACAGACGATTGCGCCGACGTCGGAGCAATTGGAGACTAAAGCAGAATACACAAACATTCTCTGGCACAAGTGCAGTGGCAATATGACTACCGACGGTGGCGCCGACTGAGAATGTCGACGAAACCACTTGTCAAAGTTTGCACTTTATAGAAATATTCTCCAAGTTAAAATTGGAGCTCGATACGAACGGACGTGTGTAGACGGCAATTTGCGCGATACAATATAATTTTCTTTCCAACTCAAATGTATATTAACCAAATTTAGAATTGATGAAAAGCCAACAACGTGTAAAGAGTTAAAAAAAAAAAGTACTAGCTACCGCAAAAGTAAGTTTGCCACTACACAATCATTAATTCAAATTTCACTTTGAAATACGTCAAAAAATTTGACAATAATAAAGTTCTCAAACGAAGTTGAAATAGAAAATTTCACAGCAGAAGGAATTTTTGTATAAATTTGTGCAGAGATTGCATTAATTAAACATAAAAAATTTAAAAAAAAAATCTGTAACAAAATTTAAGTGTAAAAGCCACAAAATTGCCAAATGAAGTGAGTAATATAAGCGTGTGTGTGAAAAGTGAGAAAATTTAGTAATTGAAAAGTGCAGAAACACATTTGTTGTAGTTCAAAACATTGGGGATATACGTAAACAGCATCGAACAACAACAAAAATAACAGTATTGCAACAATACGCAGTAGAAGTACGAAATACGCGGGGCCCAAAAAAGCGGTGGTGGCTAAGAGGAAAAGGCAGCGGCAGCAATTAGCAGGTAAGCGTGGAAATCTGCACCGTATTAACATAGATATATGACATATTGCGAAAAATAGATGTGTGTACATTGTAGACTATCAAATTTAATGTACATATGTATGTATATAATTAAAATTACATCTATTAGTACCCCGCCTTTTTAGGTACTACATTATTTAAAAGATAAAATGTCGAATGCTCAAAGGGCAAAGTGCGGTTAGGGGGCGGAGACGAAAATGAGACGAAAGTTTGAAAAGGGGGAGTCAGCAGTGAAGGGGCCACGTGTGCTACGCAACGAAGAAAACGTTACGTGAGCGTGTGGAGCACACGTCGAACGAATGAATGAAAAGAGAGATAGTGAGCGAGGTAGTCTGCGAGAGCGCAGCACTAATTTTGTCTTATCTTTGCATTTGTGTTTGTTTCCGATTGCGCGAGAAGTGTAGAAAATGGAAATAGAATTGATTGAAAAACACCAGCGACTGCAGTCACTGCTGACGCCGCGTCGGCTTTTGTGTATGAAATATACTGCTGTGGCCGCGGTGTCTGCTACTGCAGCGCTGAGGTTTTGGCTTTTATTAATTGGGCGTTTTTTGCAGTTGTGTTTTCAATTCGTGGGGGGAGTGTTGGTTCATATGGAATTCATTATCAATCAAAATCGTGTGAGATAGCGGCGAAGTTAGGTTAAAAGTGATTACATTTTGGTTTTTTTTTATAAAAGCCGGTGATATGTTTTAATTTTTTATCAAGATATGTGTGCACGTAAATGAAAGCGCTCTTTAATTTATGTAGTTGTAAAATAAATTTGCATCTGAGAGAATGATACGAGACTTATTTAAACAAACTTCGTCGTACTTACATATTTATATGTATGTGTGTTTGCGAATTTCCAATTAGAAGTTGTGCTGAATTCTTAAAGAAATTTTTTAAATAATACATTTTGTATAAAATGTTCTATATATTATGAATTTGTATGTGTAAATATGCATGTGTGCATGAGCAAAATAGTTAAAGATGAGGTAAGTAATTTAGCGATAGATTTTTGTACGAACAAAATTTCCATTCATGATACCAAATCTATATTATAATTGACCATTACCAAAAAACAAACTGTTGCCCATCCTATGTATGTTTGTATATGGGTTAGATCAATCGTAAGCCTACCACACCATATTAAAACATAATGACCTAGGAGCGTAAGCAACTTCTCTCCAATCAGTTTGTGCTAGGGTGTAGCGGAACCGTCTCCTAGGAACATTGAAAAGTCCTTACTAAACTACGTCGAAGACATTAAAACAATACGCCGACCAGATTTCGGGCGCAAATAACTTTACACATGCACTGACCGCCATTTACAGTAGACCCAGTAATACCTTTACCGATTCTCTCTTAGTGAATGACGTACTTGGTTTCAAACTTGTTGGTGTTATACTTAACTGGATTTTTTCCGGCCAAGTACTGTAATTTCGGTAGATATGTGACGCAACAACAACAGTAACCCATGCACAGCTTTGTTCTATATACTCCAGAATAGACCCTGACATATCATGAAGCCTCCCATAACTCTAGCCATCTCTTTGGATGCGCTGCTAACCCTACACGTTTGCCCCCTATCCCCTTTTGGTCCGAACCCGCCGAAACAGCACGTCTTCTGGGTCTACCATTGGATGACTTCGATGACTACTTATCTAATCCTTACCATCCTAACAGCGATCAGGTACGAGTTACAACAACAAATTAAAATTATTATCGCCAATATGAGGACCATTACGTTTTTACTTTAGAATGGTGTTTCTTGATGTGTCTGTGAAGCTGCGTCAGCATAGGTTTTACAAATTGGCCTTATATCCCGATTTGAACCCGTAAGACATTTTTCGTATAAAAAAATTCCGGAATACAGAATCATTGACAAACAACCAAATTGGCATATTTGACCTTTAATATGATTCATACGCTATGCATGGATGAACTACAGGTTGCGTTCCAAAGTAAACAGGATTTTTTGAATCTAGCGCCCCCTAGTGGCGCCATCTATATGTCGCCTAGTGCGTTAGAATCTGCTATAGTGCACGTTTTCAAAATGGTCGAGAGGACATAAATGACGATCAACACGTGGGCCAATCAAATTCCATCAAAACTGTGCATGAATTCTTCAAAAATCAGCCGAAATCATCATTAAAATTCTTGGAAATGGAATCTCCAAAACATCGATTTATCGTATTTTGATCGCACATTTGGGCTTACGAAAGGCGTGTGCACGTTGTTTTGTTGCACGATAATGCGTCGTCTCATCGATCGACGCTTGTGACCATAAATCACGTTTTAACCATTAACCACTCCCGGTATTCACCTGATATGGCACCGTGCGACTTCTTGCTTTCCGGAAAAATGCGTTTGCCTATGAAAGGAAAGCGTTATGCAGACGTAAAGGCCATTCAAAAGGCTTGCACCGGCATACTGGCGGCCATACCGGCCAACGAGCTAAAACACTCATTCGACATGCTTTTGGAGCTGATAACAGAAAGCTGATAACAGAAAAGTTGTTTGAACCAATTCAGACATGAAAACGGTTCACGAACGCTATTTTAGAAATCCCTTTAGAAAACAGAAAATTATGTCGAGGCTAATGAATATATCGACCAGATCCATCTCCAGAATTATTTGAAATTATCTGCACAATGCAGCCTACTGTCGCGAAACTGTCCATCTTCTGACATTGGTCTTGAAGCAAAATTGGCTCAACATAGGCACGCGGTTTCTGTGATGGTAAAATTCTCACTGTTGAAAAAGTTTTTTCCATCGAGAGCATTGGCAATTGTAGCAAGACTCTGCTTAGTACAAAAGGCAAAACCATCAATCAGTATTCCTGGTTTTATAGCGGCAGATGATTGACCGGCTGGAAATCGAGATTTTATAATCCCTTTGGATTATGGTTTATGATCCGTGTGGGAGAACATGGCTCGTCGAATTCACCCACAAATTAAATGAGTCACAAAAATTCTTTGATTCGAACATCACCTCAATATTAATAGAAACGGGGAGTACTGCTTCTGATCAGTGGTAGAATCGTTTCCTACTTTTTTATAAAAAATAGAACAGAAACTCCAAATTTAATGAGGAATTTTTATTATCATTCGAAAAAACATTTTTTGGCATTTTTTTTTGAGGATTATCTCTTTCTCGCGGCTACGTCTCAGATGGTCCATCCGTTGAGTTTAAATTTTCGATGACTGGTGCGAGCATTTCGACTGATAACTGGCGAATGATTGGCGTGATGTTTTCCTCCAACTCCTGAATCGAAGCGGGATTGTTCACATAGACTTTTGACATTACATATCATCACAGGGAAAAGTCTAACGGTGTAATATCACACCATCTTGATGGTCAATCGATCAGCCTAAAACGAGAAATTATCTGCTCACCGAAGTGTTTTCTCAATAAATCCATTGATTGATGTGATGTGTGAG